ACAATAAGTTAAAAAAAATAATGAAAAGGCGGAGAAATACTACACAAATGAAGGAACAAACTAGAAACCACAGAAGTCCAAGTAAATGAAGAGGAAATAGGCAAACTACCTGAAAAAGAATTCAGAATAATGTTAGTAAAGATGATCAAAAAACCTTGAAAACAAAATGGAGAAAATGCAAGAATCTAACAAAGATCTAGAAGATCTAGAAGAATCTAGAAGAATTAAAGAATAAGCATACAAACAAAACAATTACTGAAATTAAAAATACTCTAGAATGAATCACTAGCAGAATATCTGAAGCAGAATGAATCAGTAAACTGGAAGATATAATGGTGGAAATAACTTCTGAAGAGCGGAATAAAGTAAAAAGAATGAAAAGAACTGAGGATAGTCTCAGAGATGCCTGTTCGTCTCAGCAGCTGCTGCTGCTAAGTAGCTTCAGTCGTGTCCGACTCTTTGCAACCCCATAGATGACAGCCTACCAGGCTTCCCCGTTCCTGGGATTCTCCAGGCAAGAACAGTGGAGTGGGTTGCCATTTCCTTCTCCAATGCGTGAACGTGAAAAGTGAAAGTGAAGTTGCTCAGTCATGTCCGAGTCTTAGTGACCCCATGGACTGCAGCCCACCAGGTTCCTCTGTCTATGGGATTTTCCAGGCAAGAGTACTGGAGTGGGTTGCCATTGGGACCATATCAAATGCACCAACATTAAAATTACAGGGGTCCCAGAAGAAGAAGAGAAAAAGAGAGGGTATGAGAAAATTTTTGAAGAGATTATAGTGGAAAATTTCCCCAACATGGAAAAGGTAGTCATAGCCAATCATAGTCCATCAAGTCCAAGAGGCACAAAGAGTCCCATACAGGATAAACCCAATGAGAAACACACCAAGACACATACTAATCAAACTAACAAAGACTAAACACAAAGAAAGAATATTAAAAGCAGCAAGGGAGAAGCAACAAGTAACATACAAGGGAAACCCCATATGCTTAACAGCTGATCTTTCAACAGAAACTCTGCAGACCAGAAGGGAATGCTGCTGTTGCTGCTAAGTTGCTTCAGTTGTGTCCAACTCTGTGCGACCCCATAGATGGCAGCCCACCGGCTTCCTCTGTTCCTGGGATTCTCCAGGCAAGGATACTGGAGTGGGCTGCCATTTCCTTCTACAATGCATGAAAGTGAAAAGTGAAAGTCAAGTCTCCCAGTCATGTCTGACTCTTAGCGACCCCATGGACTGTAGCCTACTGGACTCCTGTCCATTGGATTCTCCAGGCAAGAGTACTGGAGTGGGTTGCCATTGCCTTCTCCAGAAGGGAATGGCAGGATATATTTAAAGTACTGAAAGGGGAAAATCTACAACCAAGATTACTGGACCTGATAAGGATCTCATTCAAAATTGATGGAGAAATAAAAAGCTTTTCAGACAAGCAAAAGTTAAGAGAATTCAGTACACCAAACCAGCTTTACAACAAATGTTAAAGGGACTTATATAGTCAAGAAATACAAGAAAAGAGCTATAAAATCAACCCCAAACTATTAAGAAAATGGCAATGGGGACATATATATCAATAATTACTTTAAATGTAAATGGATTAAATGCTCCAACCAAAAGATACAAATTGGCTGAATGGATACAAAAACAAGACCCATATATGTGCTGTCTATAAGAAACCCACTTCAGAGCTAAAGACACCTATAGACTGAGGGTGAGAGGATGGAAAAATATGTTCCATGCAAATGGGAAACAAAAGAAAGCTGGAGTAGCAATCCTCATATCAGACAAAATAGACCTTAAAATAAAGAATATTAATATTACAAGAGATAAGGAAGGACACTACATAATGATCAAGGGATCAATCCAAGAGGAAGCCATAACAATTGTAAATATCTATGCACCCAACATAGCAGCACCTCAATACATAAGACAAACACTAAAAGACATAAAAGGAGAAATTGATAGTAACACAATAATAGTAGGAGACTTTACTATCCCATTCACACCAATAGACAGATCATCAAAACAGAAAATTGACAAGGAAACAAGTCTTAAATGATACATTAGATGAGATGGTTTTCATTGATATCTTCAGGACATTCCATCCAAATGCAGAATACATCTTCTTCTCAGGTGTGCATGGAACATTCTCCAGGATAAAACTGTACACAGAAAATTATAAAACACTAATGAAAGAGATCAAAGATGATATAAACAGATGGTGAGATATTCCACGTTCCTGGGTAGGAAGAATCAGTATTTTGAAAATGACTATACTACCAAACACAATCTACAGATTCAGTGTGATCCCTAATCAAATTATCCATGGTATTTTTCACAGAACTAGAACAAAAAAATTTCACAATTCATATGGAAACCTGAAAGACCCTAAATAGCCAAAGCAGTCTTGAGAAAAAAAAAAATGGAGCTGGAGGAATCAACCTTCCTGACTTCAGATTATGTTACAAAGCTACAGTCATCAAGGCAGTAGGGTACTGGCACAAAAACAGAAATATAGACCAATGGAACAAGATAGAAAGCCCAGAAATAAACCCATGCACCAGTGGGTACCTTATTTTTGACAAAGAAGGCAAGAATATGCAATGGGGCAAAGACAGCCTCTTCAGTAAATGGTGCTGGGAAAACTGGACAGCTACATGTAAAAGAATGAAATTAGAGCACTTCCTAACACCATACGAAAAATAAACTAAAAATGGATTAAAGACCTAAATGTAAGACCAGAAACTATAAAACTCTTAGAGGAAAACATGGGCAGAACACTCAGTGACATAAACCTAAGCAAGATCCTCTATGACCTACCTCCTAGAGTAATGGAAATAAAAACAAAAGTTAACAAGTGGGACCTGATTAAACTTAAAAGCTTCTGCATAGCAAAGGAAACTATAAGCAAGGTGAAAAGGCAACTTTCAGAATGGGAGAAAATAATAGCAAATGAAACAAATGACAAATGATTAATTTCCACAATATACAAGCAGCTCATATACTCAATGCCAGAAAAGCAAACAACCCAGTCAAAAAGTGGGAGAAAGACCTAAACAGACATTTCTCCAAAGAAGACACACAGATGGCTAACAACACATAAAAAGATGCTCAACATTGCTCATTATTAGAGAAATGGAAATCAAAACCACATTGAGATATCACCTCACACCAGTTAGAATGGCCATCATCAAAAAGTCTACAAACAATAAATGCTGGAGAGAGTGTGGAGAAAAGGTAATGCTCTTGCACTGTTGGTGGGATTATGAATTGATACAGCCACTATGGAAGATGGTATGGAGATTCCTTAAAAACTAGGAATAAAACCACCGTATGACCCAGCAATCCCATTCCTAGGCATATATCCTGAGGAAAGTAAAGTTGAAAGAGACACATGTATCCCATTGTTCATTGCAGCACTATTTACAATAGCTAGAACATGATAGCAACCTAGATGTCCATTGACACATGAATGGATAAAGAAGTTGTGGTACATATACACAATGGAATACTGCTCAGCCATAAAAAGGAACACATTTGAGTCAGTTCTGATGAGATGGATGAACCTCGAACCTATTATACAGAGTGAAGTGAGTCAGAAAGAGAAAGACAAATATCATATTCTAACACATGTATATATGGAATCTAGGAGAATGGTTCTTAAGAACTTAAAGGGCAGCAGTGGAGAAACAGACATAGAGAATAGACTTATGGACATGGGGAGAGGGGAGGAGAGGGTGAGATATGTATAGAAAGAGTAACATGGAAACTTACATTACCATATGTAAAATAGATAGCCAGCTGGAATTTGCTGTATGGCTCAGGAAACTCAAACAGGGGCTCTGTATCAAGCTAAAGGGGTGGGATGGGGAGGGAGTTGGAAGGGAGATTCAAAAGGGAGTGGATAAATGTATACCTATGGCTGATACATGTTGAGGTTTGACAGAAAACATGAAAATTCTGTAAAGCAAATACTCTTCAATAAAAAAATTAAAAAATCTTTTAAAAAACTGTACATATCACATATACATGATAAATTGGTACTATTATAATTTTTGCTTGTTTTTTTTCCCCTTTAAGAGTGAAGAGTTTTGTTTGTTTGACTTGGAATTCATGTGTCTATATGTCTGTTGGAGGTAGAAACAATTAAGTACTACCCAGTGGGCCCAAATAGCTTTCAGAGCCTCTATAATCATGGAGAAGCAGTCTGAAAATGTCCAGTCCTATGAGGCCTGGGCATTTTGCCCTTTAAGAATGGTACATCTGGTGGGATAAGGGGGAATGGGGACAGGAATATAGACATGAATTTTATGACAGAAGATGGCTAGAGGTGGGATTATTAGTAATGAGGAAGTAATTGGTAATATAGAGAATCCAGTCCTTATTTGATTATCTGTATCTTTGATCTCAACTTCCTGACATGTAGCTACAATAAAGTCCTAACCAAAGAGTTGTAGTTTGGAAGCTGATGACCGTAATTTCTGGCTTCCAGGCAAACTTAAAAGTGACTTTTCTCCCTGAATTGACATGACTTCTCTGGGAAGCGTAATCACAGGGCTTGCCAAGAATACATTTTTGCAGTACATAGAATTTTAATTTTCTTTTAATTGTATTGTGTAAATCTGACAGATTGTCATGTAAGGTTACAAATATTGTTGCATACCACACACAGATATACAGAGTTCATAGGCATAAAGTGAGATTTTTAGTCATTTTGAATGGACATGTTTGCTTTCCTAGCATTATTCCAGTGTTCTCTGCTTTCTTTCTCTGTTCTTTCTCTGTCCCTCCTTTCTTGCCTCACTTCCTGATGGGCACTCGAGCCTATATTCTCTTTGCTGCTACATACTGCCTTTCGTGAGAGTGGAAGAGACGAAGGGGAGGATCATTTTCTGCTACTATTTTTATTAACACTTGGATTGCCAGCTTGTGTGTGGAGAGCTTCATTTGACAAGTGTCACCTCATCTAACACCTGTTTTTTTTCCTTTCCCACCCCTGTTCAGCGCTTCGGGCACTGTGTACACGGCCATGGATGTAGCCACGGGACAGGAGGTAAGTATCCACCACCAACTGCTGCTCCTTCAGTTTGACTGTTTCTTACTCTTTCTTGATAAGCTTTAGCCCTTCTTAGCTCAACAGGGACTCTTCTAGTTTCTTACTATTGTAGACTAGAAGTCTTTCAACATGGTGAAACTTAGGTTTTGGAAAGTTACTGTGGCTGCAAGGTGGAGAAGAGATTTGAAGAGATAAGTGTGGAACAGGTGACTCAGCAGGTTATTGGGTAATTCCATGTGAGAGATGATGTCTGGACTAAGGTGGTACCACATTATAAATGGGGGAAAGTGATGTATTTGAGAGGTACTTATGTAGATTTGACAGTTTGGTGAATGTGAGGATGACTCACAAGTAGTGATATGTGTGTGTGTTCTCAGTTGTGTCCACTCTTTGTGGCCCCATGGAATATAGCCCACCAGGTTATTCTGTCCATGGGATTTTTCAGTCAAGAATACTGGAATGGGTTGGCATTTCCTTATCCATGGTGCCTTCCCGACCCAAGGACCAAACCTGCATCTCTTGTGTTTCCTATATTGGCAGGTGGATTCTTTACCACTAGCACCACCTGGGAAGCCCAAGTGAGTGATCAGAGGAAGTATAGATTTGAAGAAGTTAGATAGTGCCTGAGAGACCTTGTGAAACTGCCTGGTGGGCAGTTTTACAAATTTGGTGCTTGGGAGAGAAATCTGATATAGAAGAGATTTAAAACCTTGTCTCTTTCTCGAATCTAGTGGGTCTTCCATTACTCTGTGCCTAGGATTCTGGTAGACATTGAAGTTCTCATTTGGAGGCACCTCTTTGTCTCTCACGTTTCATAAGCTGGGAAATCTCTAATCTTATTGCTAAGGCCTGATGACCCAAGATCTTATCTTCAGCAGAAGGAAACCAAGAAGGGAATCTAGAATGCTTGAAGTTTGTTTGCCCTGTACTCTTTGGTTGCAGAGCAGGAATGTTGGCAGGTGGGTTGTGGATGGGAGTTACCTGGGAAAGGTCTTAGTTCAAAGACGGGTCTCAGAACTTGAGAGGCACCTCTTGTTCCAATGAAAATAGAGTTCGGCTCCTCTGAGGGAGGTAATTAGGACCTGCTTGTATATGTTTGGTGGTTGAAACCCCATGATGTACTGGAGAAGTCACATAACTCACTGTGCTGTTGTCAGGCTTTTACAAGTGTCTGAGGCAAATACTGAGGCTCCATTGAGAGTAAGTCAACTTCAAAAAAAATTATGTTGAAAGATTTATTAATTGTTCTTTGATGTGAGAACCAGATAACTAGATGTTTACCTTTAGTGGATAGTGAAAGTTGCTCATTTGTGTCCGACACTTTGCGACCCCATGGACTATACAGTCTATGGGATTCTCCAGGCCAGAATACTGGAGTGGGTAGCCTTTCCCTTCTCCAGAGGATCTTCCCAACCCAGGGATAGAACTCAGGTCTCCCTCATTGCAGGCAGCTTCTTTACCAGCTGAGCCACAAGGGAAACCCAGATGTTTACCTTTACTTACTTATAAAAGCTTGGAAAAGTCATTTGACCTCTGGAGCTTGAATTTTATTTCTTTATAAAACATGCATGATAACATACACCTCACAAGACTGTTAAATAAGTTATGTGAAGCAATGCATTTGAAAAATACATCATAAACTAAGAATTACATATATATTAACTTTTATCTGCACATATTTGTTTGACACAGTGTTTACTAATCATTTGCTTTATACTACACTTATGCTAAGAACTATGAAAGATTCAGACATTAAAAACATATATATGGAAGGTGGACCGGAGCCGTTGGACTGGACACGATCCGAAGGGTCAGGGAGTGCGGGATGCGAGTGTGGAGCTTGGATTTCAGAGCGTGGCTAGCAGCTAGCATGATGGGCGGGGAGCAGGGGGAGGTTCGGTTCGACGGCATGTTGCTGGCTATGGTGCAGCAACACGAGGGCGGCGTGCAGGAGCTGGTGAACACTTTCTTCAGCTTCCTTCGACGCAAAACAGACTTCTTTATTGGAGGAGAAGAAGGCATGGCAGAAAAGCTTATCACACAGACCTTCAACCCCCACAGCCAGCTGGCACAGAAGGCCCGGTGGGAGAAGCGAGCTCGGCAGGAGACTGAACGGCAGGAGAAGGCGGAGCGGGCAGCCAGGTTGGCCAAGGAGGCCAAGTCAGAGACCTCTGGGCCCCAGATCAAGGAACTGACTGAGGAGGAGGTCGAGAGGCTACAGCTGGAAATTGACCAGAAAAAGGATGTCGATAATCAGGAGGCCCAGCTCAAGAATGGCAGTCTTGGCTCCCCAGGGAAGCAGGAGGCCGAGGAGGAGGAGGACGAGGAGGACGAGAAGGACAAAGGGAAACTGAAGCCCAACCTTGGCAACGGGGCGGACCTACCCAGTTACCGCTGGACCCGGACCCTGTCGGAGCTGGACCTGGCCGTTCCATTCTGTGTGAACTTCAGGCTGAAGGGGAAGGACGTGGTGGTGGATATCCAGCGGAGGCATCTCTGGGTGGGGCTCAAGGGACAGCCAGCGATCGTGGATGGGGAGCTCTACAACGAGGTGAAGGTGGAGGAGAGCTCATGGCTCATCGAGGTGGTGACGGTGCATCTGGAGAAGATCAACAAAATGGAGTGGTGGAGCCGCTTGGTATCCAGTGACCCCGAGATCAATACTAAGATCAACCCCGAGAACTCCAAGCTGTCGGACCTGGATAGTGAGACCCATCGCATGGTGGAGAAGATGATGTATGACCAGAGACAGAAGTCCATGGGGCTGCCTACCTCGGATGAGCAGAAGAAACAGGAGATTCTGAAGAAGTTCATGGGTCAGCATCCAGTGAGAGACTTTTCCAAGCCCAGATTCAACTAGCCCCTGTGTTTGTTCCCCTGAACTCTCCAGGCTGAGCTCCTGGCTCCTCACTTTCCTCTCCCACCCTCCCTGGGACTGGTGGGCTGAAGGGCCAGGGCAGGCACGGGTCTGGCCGGCACACACGGTCCCAGGCCATTATGGGAGAAGGGCTGGGCCTTGGAGGGTATTGTCCTCCCCAGCTGGCCTGCTGTTACACATTAAAACTATTTACCCCCCCCAAAAAATAAATAAAAACATATATATGTATAAGAGTAAGAAACCATACTTTCTGTTGTGTACATATAAAACTCTTATAATGCTTACAGAAACCTGTGTTGAAATAATTGTAAGGAAGGAAGGAAGGAAGGAAGGATGGTATCATTTTGCTGATTTAAATATGCTATATTGGAGGCAGAGATAGAAAAGAGGAGGTTATACCAATACTAGAAAGAACCCTACACAGTAGGCAATATTACTTCCTTTTTGCTGATGAGAAATTTGAGGCTTGGGGTTAAAGTAACTTTTGCGGGGTTGTGCTGCCAGGAGTTAACAAGGACTGGGTTAGAATCTTTTGATTCTAAAATCTTAACTTGTGTTTTCTTGACTGCTAGGCTGCAGTAAGGTTTGGCACCATGGCCCCTTGTCATATTTCTGACCTCTGGAGCCTCATAGCCCTTGATGGGAGGCAGGCTGGTGCTGGCTGGTTCCTGGATGGTCTGGAGCTGCGTGTGTGAGAAGCTGGCCACGGGAAACAAGCTTGATGTCATGTGCTTGCTTTGTGGTTACAAAACTATGAATGGAAGCAAGTCCATTAGAGTGGCTAATGCAGTGTAGCCAGGAAGGCCTCATTTTCTCCCCCAGGGAGTATAAATCTTTAGTGGAGCTGGCAGGATGCTCTGTCTTTGTGAGTGACTGCATATTGGGAGTTCCCCGATGGAAAAGGAGAGCTATTATCTGTCACATGTAGGAAGATTAGCATGTTAGTGCTGGAAGTCTTCTAGTTCTAGACCCGATAATTAATTTTCAAGCCTATTTTTAGAGGGAATGTGTGTAATAGAGAAAATAGACTGGAAGACGCTTTGAAGTCATACAAGCCTGAAGGCATTGATTATGACCTTGGGCAACTTCCTTGTAAGTCTTGGTCTTCATTTTCTTATCTGAAAATGCAGAGGATGATTTTCACTTGACAGGGTTGTTTAGTTTTGCAGAGACAATGTCAGTCGAGCACCTAACACTGTGTGATGGGAGAGTGGTTGGTTTTTGCTGTCATTCCTGCTGATTATGTTGTCATTCTTGCTGCTCTGTGCTAAGTACTCATCAAATGCAGTTATAACAGTGATTAGCATTTTCACTGTTGTCTTACTGTATTATTTAAATTTCTTATGTATGAGTGACATGTTGGCCACTATTTCTTTTAGTTCCCAAAAGAATCCTATGAGGAGGGAAATCAGGATGGGGATTATTATCCTTAGTATTGATAAAGAGATGGAGGCTCAGGGAGCTTGTGATTGGTCAAGGCTGGTAAGTGACAGAATCAGCCCCAGAGCTTAGGCCCTCAGAGTTCAAGTCCAGCTCTTTTTCTGTTATGGGAGTGCTGTCTGCTGGCTTGAGTTAGGAGAGATCTGATTAGGTGAAGGGTGTTTAGCCTAGCCCATGTTTAGTCAGTAGTTATTGGAAAGGACTGTCCCCGCCTCTGTCATCCATGGCTGCCTCTCTTCTCCCTTGCTGCTGCCAGCAGTGACCTCTGTGAAGTTCACAAGCACTGTCCCATCCTCCAGGATGGCCTTAGGAACTGCACAGGGTCCAGATCTTAATATGTGTTACAAGGGCTTACAGTCTTAATGTGATGGGCCTTTAGATCAATGTTTTCCTCTTCAGATGTTAGAAAAAGCTAACATCATGTGTTACAGAAAACTGTAGCCAGACCAGAAGCCTTCCCTGATAGGAGACCCTACTCCAAAGCAATTTTTTCTCACTTAGGGTAGGGAGCAGAGGTGGTCAAAATGTTTAAAAAAATTAGTTTCTGTTCTTACTGATAAATGACTCTTGGCAGAAGACTGTCCATACTTGATTTGAAGAAATAATAGAGTTGGGAGTTTTCCCATAAAAGTTGAATTATTCATCTTTTACTTTTCTGGATGATTCTGGAATGACTAGTTGTAGTTGTTCTGTTAGATGTTCATGTTCCTCACTGTTATTTCTAGGAAATAAACACTTAAATAATTTGAAGTCTAGTCCTGTGGGATGGAGGAGCCTATTGCTGGTGCTCTTTGTGGTTTAAAAACAAAGTATTTATGGTGACTTTTTATATGCCCTCTATCCCAAGACTATGGCCAGAGGGATGTTAAGGTCACCAAGAATAATTTGGAGGTGGCCAAGGACTTGTTTTTAAAGTGTTTTCAAGTCTACCGATAACTCTTGACATTTAGAAATGAGTAAGATATGAATGTTTAAAATCATGTTTTCTTTTAAAAAAAAAATAAATAAAAATAAAAGCAAAGTATTTATCAACCCACTGAATTCTATCTTTTCCTCATCATTGCCAAAAAGATTTGCTGAGCACACACTGCATCAGGCCCTGTGCTTGGCACCAGGGATTCTGAGCTTTCAAATGAGCTCTCAAGTGTCTCGAAGTACACACCCTAACTAGTCATCATACAATTCAGTATGTGGGGAGTTCCCCAAGTGATGTGTAAATACGGTCCTATAGGGCTTTAAAGAAGGCAAAAAACCTCTCTGGTTTGGAGAACGAATTTTCTTTTGGTCTGATACAAAGTATAAGAAGGTTTTGAACATGTGAAAACAGTGTAAGATGTTCCAAATGGAGAGAAGCTCAAATATGAGCTTACATCTTTCATTGTAGCATATGAAAGAATACAGTGAGAAGTAAGATAGAGGTCAGATCAGAAGGACTTTGAATGTTGGGAACATTCTCTCAGAACATCTCTTGGAACATCTCTCGGAACAGGAACCTTTTAAATTTAGAATCTGGGAGAGTGTTATCAAATGTGTACAGTGGGGAAGATTAATCTGGCTCTGTGTGCAGAATAAATGGGCATCACTTTTGAGATTCTAATCCTGATTTTGCTAATGAATTGTCGGGTTTACAAGTCACATATCCTCGCTAAATTACAATTTCTTCATCTGTCAAACATGGTCAGTAGTAATATTTAAGTCATAACGTGTCTCAGAGGATTAAATGAAATATGTTTGAAAATATTCTTTGTAGTACCTGACACACTGCAAAAATGAATGCACATATCCCTTAAGTTGGTATTATGTGAAAATTTGTGTATTTCTATAGACAAAAAGCCTATCAAGATCTTTTTCATACATAAACATTAAGGATCCCCCTTTTCTATTCTCTCTTAACCTGGTCAACTCTGATTTACTTTTCCACAGTTTAAAAAGGCCTTTTTAAAGCCTCTACATTGATAGTGTGAAAGAGTTCTTGCCAGTTTTATGTTTCTGTGACATTTTGTGTGGGCTTTTGTTAAACCATATGTCTTTTATATTGTGAGTTTTAAAAGTGTTTTTTTCTAATATAAGTATTTTGTAGCAAGTTTGATCTTCAAACTTTGGTTCACATTAGAATTACTTGGAGGGCTTGTTAAAATACAGGGTTTTGAGGAAAAGGAAGTCCCTATTTATCAGTACTTGAGCTTGGATTAAGTAGAGATCTAAGAAGGTAGAGAGATGAATGGAAAGATCAGTTTTAAAATTCTTTTACTTCCTCATTTAAATTCTTCATAACCATGTATTATCCTCACCTCCAGTGACACCAGTACCAATGCCAAGTAATAAATGATCCTTATACTTAGCAAGTGAACTTTTCCATTAAATAGAAAATTTGTACAAACCACCCACCCCCCCCCCCCAAAAAAAAAAAAAAACCCACAGAGTTTCTGATTCAGTAGATTTGGTTGGGGCCTGAAAATTTTCATTTCCAGCACATTCCCAGATAATGTTGATGTTGCTGGACTTTGCATTGAGTATAATTGGTCTCCAGTGGTAAACTGTGAGTTCCTCAAGGGCTCAGACCATATTTTATTCATCTCTGTCTCCTAAGTGTTTATGTCTGGTACTTAATAGGTGCTCAGTAAATTCAGAGTGATTCTGGTTATACATTGAGTGTACTTTGATTTCAGGTGGCCATTAAGCAGATGAATCTTCAGCAGCAGCCGAAGAAAGAGCTGATTATTAATGAGATCCTGGTCATGAGGGAAAACAAGAACCCAAATATTGTGAACTACTTGGACAGGTATGGCGTGGTAGTCCTGTTAGAGAAATAAGGCCTCTGGGACTGATGGATGGTAGTGCTATTAGAGAAGGCAACACCAGCACTCAGAACTGTTTCCATTCAAGAATCTTTTAAGGTGCTCAGCTCTGTGCCTCTGAGCCTGCATGTTGCTGGACATGTCTAACGGCCGCACAGTCTTCTGGGTTAGGCTGAGCCCTGCCATCCTACAGCTTCTCCCAGCTGGTCCTGCCCCAGGGAATGCCTTCAGCCCATCGGCCTGAGTCAGATGCAAAGGTCTTTGAATCATTCTGCATCTTAAAATCTTTTCCTCATCCTGCTTACCCTGCTGAATAACTTCTAGTTTGTCTGTATTATCTTAAAATGTGACATTCAGTAGTTTTGTTCGAGGTTTGAGCTGTATGGAGAGAGTACAACCCCTCCTTTGTTCCAAACTCTGTGGAACTTGATTTCATTCTTTTTTTGTTGTTGTTCATTAAAATTTTTCTTTTTAAATTTTAAGTGTTCTATTTTCATTGTTGACCCCTATTAGGCATGTAGTCAGTTCAAATCTCTGATCCTTTTTTTTTTTTTTCTTAACAAGAGCTTGCCTTAAACTGGTAACATAGATTTTTGGTTATCTTCATTAAATTCCATTTTGATTCTTTTAACCCATCTTTCCAGCCTGTAAGAATTCTGCTCTTTAATAATAAGAGTTGTAGCTAATATTTGTGTTATGCTTTTCTTTGTACTAAGCACTTTTGTGACTAGCAGTATCTCATTATAAGGTAGGGTTTATTGTCTGTATTTTACAGATGAAGAAACTGAGATTCATAGAAGTTAATAACTTGTCCAAGACCAGTAAGCCAGTAAGTAGCAAATGAGGGTTTTGGATTTGAATATTCCTAGCATCAACATCCATGCCCTTTCCATCATCTTATGTTCTTTTCTACCGTATCTGAACAAAGAAAGTGCTTCTTGCCTGGGTTTCAGAGACATCAGAGGTGAAGGTGATATTGGACCAAGTCTTGGACTCTCAGTAATTTTTCTTGCTATTTATCGTGCATTGCCACCTTGTTTTCATTGCTGCCAGATTATGCCAGATTTCTTGTTCTGAATCTAAAAGTGGTAAGCATTCATTTCTTTAAAGAGGAAAGGAGTTGGACTTTGGCCTTCTCTGTTTTGGAGATGATAGTCTCTCCATGATGTAGGTCATGACTGACTCTGAAGAATCCTCTGAAGTTATTCATCCTCCCATCTCTTTTAAGAACTTAATTATATGGAGAATAAAGCATGGATAAGCTTCTGAAGGTTATAAGGATACCACATTTTGGCTCAGGATAAGGAAAAATGAAAGCTGTCTTAAGGGTATGGCCTATCTCATAAAATAGTGAGTTCTTCATTAGTGGAGGTAAGTAAACAACAAAATGCATGTGGTTGAATGAATCTGTGTTCTGGGAATGGGATTAGAAGGTTTATAAATTGTTTGTTTATCATGCCTTTGCCGGTGTTTCCAGAGGCTTATTATATTCTGTAGTCAGAAATAATTAGGCTCAGTCCCTGCCATCAGTCAGTCTGGTGTAGAAAAACATACCTAGGAGCTCTTGCTGGAGGAGAAGGGTGGGTACTCTTAAGCTGAACATTCAGTGAAGGTGCTACATTTGAGAATCTGTGGTTTTCGTGAGTTCCCAGAGGAGAACTCCATTCATATTTTTTCTTCTCTAAATATGGGATGCTCTGAAGCTTTTTTGATGGTATTTTGGCACAGTGTGTAGCTGCATAGTAATTGAGACAACATGAATCTGGTCTTGAGAGCATTATGTGAGGCCCAGCTAAAGGGACTCTGCTTTGTCAGTGTCCACATAATCTTTTGTACACTTGTGTCTTCCCCCCAGGCAGTCCAAGTTGACAGATGTCTTTTCAGTGTGCTGGGGGATGGTCTATAAATGCACATTCTTTGTCAGGGATGAAATAGGCTTATGCCAGTGGAGGGCTTTTTACCCAGTCCTGAATTCTCTTTTGGTCCAAGTCCCCACAGTCTTCTCATAAGAGATTGTTGAAGGAGAAATTAATCTGTCATATTTATTCTTCATGGATATTAAAAAATTGCAAGACTTTGATGTATAAAGAATGCATAATATTATGGAAAGAGGACTGAACTGATTAATAGGCAAAAGAGTAGGATTTAAATCTTACCCTTTACTTGAGACTATTTATTTTTTCCAGTAGCCTCCCATCTGCCCAGCAGTAGTCCCAATATGAGGATGAAGATGAGATGACATACCACACAGCTCAAGCCAATCCAGTCTGCCTCCTTTGTCTAAAGCTAGCGCAAGAGTTTGTAGAGCTCTAGACTGTCTTTGTTGTTTATTTGTCTTATTTTGTAGCAGAGGAAACTGACAGGCTAAGTGACCTTTTTACTTATCATATAACAGAGCTGAGTGATCCAGTCCCTGAGTGAAACTATCAGTTTTAGCCTTTCTCAGCCCCACAGTCTCTCTAGTGATACAGTACTAAATTGGAAACCCTTGGCTTCCAGAAGAGGCTTTGGTTCTGCAACCCTTACTGAATTTATTCCCTTCTTAGAATCAGAGATGTTCAAAATGGAGATCATTGCCAGCAGAATGGCTGTGTGTATAAAACTCTACAGCTTCTTAATGGTTTTTATAACCATTACTTTATTTAACATTTGCAGTTATCTTTTATTTTACTCATTGATTTATTCAGTAAATAATGGCATCTACTGTGCCACTCTCTCTGGGGATAGAATCTTGAACATGACCTGGTACTGGTCTCATGAATCTCAAATCTAGTAGAACTCTCAAGGATGTTTAGTGACTTCCCTAATATTGGTAACATGGACTCCAGATCCCATCTTAGTCAGACGTTTGGGTACTCTCTGCTTTCTTGCTTCTAAAGGTGTGGGAACCATGCCTGATTTTAAGAAATACTGCTTTGTGTCATGATGAAATAAAATTTTATTGCATTTTCAACCTAGTGATTTTAGTTCTGACTTTTGGAGCATCACAGGACAGTCTGCTTTGTTTTCTCTAGTCGAATCCTTAAGAGATGTCAAGCTAGTGAACCAGTCCCATAGATTCTGCTTTCCTTCAGAAAAAAGGACAGCTTTCAGAGTTGAGGGAAATGCAGAATCACTCTGTGTATGTGCTTGTCCTTTGAAAGCCACTGCTGTGGCTCAGCGTACCCCACTCAGGGTATTCCTACTCACCTTTTACCCTTACCCCTGCAGTTACCTCGTGGGAGATGAGCTATGGGTTGTCATGGAATATTTGGCTGGAGGTTCTTTGACAGACGTGGTAACGGAAACTTGCATGGACGAAGGTCAGATCGCAGCTGTGTGCCGTGAGGTAAGGCCAACAGCCAAATCAGACTTGAGCAGGACATATCTTGAGCTTCCATATCTCTGTATCTCAGGGTTCTGCATCTGATGGGATCTAAGCATGGGCACTGTGGAGGTGGGAGAAATCAGTTGTGCTCTCCCATCATCCTTTTATGATGCCTGTTTTGAGATTTTTATCACCATTCCTTTTTCTTTAAAGGTAACTATATTCTGAAAGAAAGTTTATATATATATACATATATATATAATCATGTATTATTTCAGCCTCTTAAAAATAGCTGCTGTGAACACTTATTTCCTTTGTCTCTTTAATATCAGTATATATTTTAGTCATATTTTTTTATTCTGCTTTCCTGCTTTATTCATGTTGTTATAAAGGAAATAAAGCAGAGTAAAGAGATAGTGACAGAGGAGGTACTATTTCAGATAGTCAGGGAAGGTTTGCCATATATTTGAGTAAAGATCTGAATGATATGAGAAAGTACGCCAAGCAGAAATCTAGGGTAAAATACTTCCAGGCAAAAGAAATAGGAAACAAAGTTTAAATCAGTATTCTCTCTCCTCATTGCTGTCAAACGTTTAAAGTCTATAAAATGGACAAAGGATTAATCTCAAAAATATACAAGCAACTCCTGCAGCTCAATCCCAGAAAAATAAATGACCCAATCAAAAAATGGGCCAAAGAACTAAACAGACATTTCTCCAAGGAAGACATACAGATGGCTAACAAACACATGAAAAGATGCTCAACATCACTCATTATCAGAGAAATGCAAATCAAAACCACAATGAGGTACCATTACACGCCAGTCAGGATGGCTGCTATCCAAAAGTCTACAAGCAATAAATGCTGGAGAGGGTGTGGAGAAAAGGGAACCCTCTTACACTGTTGGTGGGAATGCAAATTAGTACAGCCACTATGGAAAACAGTGTGGAGATTTCTTAAAAAGCTGGAAATAGAACTGCCATATGACCCAGCAATCCCACTTCTGGGCATACACACCGAGGAAACCAGATCTGAAAGAGACACGTGCACCCCAATGTTCATCGCAGCACTGTTTATAATAGCCAGGACATGGAAGCAACCTAGATGCCCATCAGCAGACGAATGGATGAGGAAGCTGTGGTACATATACACCATGGAATATTACTCAGCCATTAAAAAGAATTCATTTGAATCAGTTCTAATGAGATGGATGAAACTGGAGCCCATTATACAGAGTGAAGTAAGCCAGAAAGATAAAGACCATTACAGTATACTAACACATATATATGGAATTTAGAAAGATGGTAACGATAACCCTATATGCAAAACAGAAAAAGAGACACAGATGTACAGAACAGACTTTTGGACTCTGTGGGAGAAGGCGAGGGTGGGATGTTCTGAGAGAACAGCATTGAAACAAGTATACTATCAAGGGTGAAACAGATCACCAGCCCAGGTTGGATGCATGAGACAAGTGCTCAGGGCTGGTGCACTGGGATGACCCAGAGGGATGGGATAGGGAGGGAGGTGGGAGGGGGGATCGGGATGGGGAACACATGTAAATCCATGGCTGATTCATGTCAATGTATGGCAAAAACCACTACAATATTGTAAAGTAATTAGCCTCCAACCAATAAAAATAAATGAAAAAAAAGAAAAGAAAAAAAGATCTGTAAGATGCTTGTATAAGGAGGGAAAATAAAAACCTTGGCAAGGCCTACATGAGAAGCAGTGTCCTTAGGGGATGGCCACATCTTAAATTAGAGCGAGAGGATGAAGGGAGTATTTGGAGAAGTTGGGTGTATTGGGTGCTTTGCTGATAAGAGACTGAAAGTTTCTCATAGCCTAATAGTATAAAAGTTTGGGAATTAGGGAAAGAGTACATGATTAAGTGGTTAGAAGATTAGGTTCAGAGTTTTATGGGGATGAGTATGCCTAGGGTTTGATGGTAGAAGAATTAGAAGCATGCAGATGAAATTACATGGTTTTGTAATAATACTAGGAAAAATAAAGTCATGTGAAATCACTACTGTCCTCGAAAATATAATCATCTTTTCATTAAAAACCCTGGGATCTAGAACACATACATAGGTAGGTTAATGGAATTAACACAGGCCTGGGATTCTTAGATCTGATTTATTGTCTTTATTGTGCCACTGAAGTGGTGTTTCTCAAATTTTTTCATTATCCTCCCTCCCCCACCAGGAAACTTTCAAGACGTTTTTTCCTAATCACATTTCCCCCATGGAATTTAATATCATAAATAAACTATATATCTGTTTATATTCTGGGGACATTTGGAAATGCAGAGTTTCTGTAATATCTAAGATGTTATTCATTTCAGTCATCTGAAGAACTGACTTTTACTGATTGAGATACATGCAAATATATGCTTGGGGAAATCAATATGTCTCAAGTGATTTATCTTAGGAATTTCTGCATTCATAATGTGTATACCTTAGGGGTACCACGTGGATCATAAAGCACTTGGAAAAACATTTAAATGTTATGCAAATACATGGAATTACTATTATCCATAAGTTCTCATAGAGATAATGCACCTTTCTAAAAATATTATTCACCCATTTAAAGTGCATAATTTAAAAGGTATTAGTATATTTAGTTATACAGCTATCACCATAATCAGTTTTAGAACATTTGCATCACCCTAGAGAGAAACAGAGTGTTCAAACTTACCGCACAATTGCACTCATCTCACATGCTAGCAAAGTAATGCTCAACAGTCTCCAAGCCAGGCTTCAGCAGTATGTGAACTGTGAACTTCCAGATGTTCAAGCTGGATTTAGAAAAGGCAGAGGAACCAGAGATCAAATTGCCGACATTTGTTGGATCATCGAAAAAGCAAGAGTGTTCCAGAAAAACATCTACTTCTGCTTTAATAACTATGCTGAAGCCTTTGACTGTGTGGATCACAACCAATGGTGGAAAATTCTTCATCCTGCTTATTTAACTTATATGCAGAGTACCTCATGCAAAATGCCGGGCTAGATGAGCACAAGCTGGAATCAAGATTGCTGGGAGAAATATCAATAACCTCAGATATGTAGATGACAGACACTTACCTTATGGCAGAAAGCAAAGAAGAACTAAGGAGCCTCTTGATGAAAGTGAAAGAGGAGAATGAAAAGGCTGGCTTAAAACTCAACATTCAGAAAAATAACATCATGGCATCTGGTCCCATCACTTCATGGCAAATAGATGGGGAAACAATGGAAATAGTGAGAGACTTTTATTATTTTGGGCTCCAAAGTCACTGCAGATGGTAAGATGCTTGCTCCTTGGAAGAAAAGTAATGACCAACCTAGACAGCATATTAAAAAGCAGACATTACTTTGCTGACAAAAGTTCCATCTAGTCAAAGCTGTGGTTTTTCCACTAGTCATGTATGGATGTGAGAGTTGGACTATAAAGAAAGCTGAGCACTGAAGAATTGATGCTTTTGAATTCGTGGTGTTGGAGAAGACTCTTGAGAGTCCCTTGGACTGCAAGGAGATCAAACCAGTCCATCCTAAAGGAAATCAGTCTTGAATATTTGTTGAAAGGACTGATGCTGAAGCTGAAGCTCTAATACTTTGTCCACTTGATATGAAGAACTGACTCATTTGAAAAGACCCTGATGCTGGGAAAGATTGAAGGCAGGAGGAAAGAGGGATGACAGAGGATGAGATGGTTGGATGGCATCACCGACTCGAAGGGCATGAGTTTGAGCAAGCTCTGGGAGCTGGTGATGGACAGGGAAGCCTGGCGTGTTGCAGTCCATGGGGTTGCAAAGGGTCAGACACAACTGAGCAACTGAACTGAACTGAAAAAGAAACTCCATACCTATTAGCAGTCACCCCCAGCTGCCCCCACCCAACCTATTTCCCATCCCTTCCAGTATGCAGTCACTAGTCTATTTTGTTTCTCTGTAGATTTGCTTGTTCCAGGTATTTCATATAAATGTAATATGTGCTCTGATTGGCTCATTTTGCTTAGTATAATATTTTGAAGGCTCATCTGTTTTATAGCATATGTTCTTTTATTAACAGGTAAGATTCTGTTTATTTGCCTGTCCATCAACTGATGGACATTTGGGTAATTTACACTTTTTGACTCTTACAGATAATGCTGTGAACATTCATGGATAAGTTGTTGGTTAAATATGTTTTCACTTCTCTTGGGTGTGTGCCTAGAAGTGGGTCTTCTGGTCATGTAGAGACTTTATGTTTAATATTTTGAGGACTGGCCAAAATGTTTACCACAGTGGCTGTACCATTTTATATTCCCACCAGCAATGCATGATGGTTCCAATTTCTAGAAATCATCCTTTCTGTTTATAACTTTTGACATCCAGAGGCCAAAGTCTCTAGCCTCCTTAGGAAAACAGGTCTTACTTTTCCAGGGAAAGCCTCTTCTGGATATTGGTTTGTTTTTAATTTAGCCATTGATGTATTCTTAGAAAGTGAAGTATTAAGTTGAGGATATTTCAATAGTGTCCTCTAATTCGTTTGCATCTTTTTCATGTTTTTAGAGGTAGAAGCCTTTAAAATTTAGCTTTGGGTTATGATCTTACTAATAGATTGAGTAGTAACCTTGAGAGTATCTTTTCTGATCCCCACCTTTTACAGATGGAAAGACAGTAGCCCAGAGGGAATAAGAGATTTGTCTAGAATAATGTTATTGGTCAGAACCAGGCATTTTTATTATTGTTTTCAGTTGCCATATTGCTCATTCTGCCCATTGAGTCTGTGTGTTTTCCAAGGTTCTTTTCCTTATTTCCTATAGCATTTGCCAATTTCAACCATTACCATAACTTAAAAGCTTGTAAACATTTCTTTCAAGTCCAGCCTCTCTACAATACTCAAGATTCACACCTGCAGTTGCCTGCTGGACATTTGTCTGCAGATGTTTTTGGGAATGTGAAAACCATAATACAGCAAACAGTACAAACTTACCTCCTCACCAAAATAAGATTATCTTCCTAAATTCATGGCTTTTAGTATCATTTCGATTTGTTTAGTTTCCCAAATGTGACTCTTATTTGTCATTTTCCTACAGTTTTTTCTTTACAAAATCCTTTCCATTCTTCCTCAGTATTTTTTTTTTTTTTGCCTTGGGTTCTTTGTCAAGGTGCTAATGTTCTGTAAACAATTCTAAAACACTTTGGAGGAACTCCTGTACCTAAAACTATTATAAGCTGTGTTACAGTACACTGTGGTCAAGTATCTTATAAGAAAGGTATGAGGCAGCATTGAGTATTAAAAGTATGTTAAGTAATGAGACAGGAGACTGGGTTTTAGACCTGCCTCTTCCATTTATTTGTAGTAAGTTCTTTTACTCATTGGGGCCTCACTTTTGTTATCACAAAATGAAGAGATTGGATTAGTTATTTTCTGTAAGTTTTCATAATTATTTGTCCTTTCTTTATCCTTCTGCCCAAATCACTTCAACAGTGCCTGCAAGCTTTGGAGTTTCTGCATTCGAACCAAGTTATTCATAGAGACATCAAGAGTGACAACATCCTGTTGGGAATGGATGGCTCTGTCAAGCTAAGTGAGTAGGAGTAATAATAACTTCTCTTCCCTCTGGAACCCTGTCTCCTCTGGGATAGTAATCATATAAGAATAGCTACAAGACTCACCAAAGAATCTATTTCCTTGGATATGCAGGCACTTTATATTACTCAGCACTATATAGGATGACATTTTTTCCCCACTCATTTATATGTTCAATGAAAAACATTTATTGTGATGGGCACCAAGGATACTTAGCCTGTATTTAAGTAGTTCTCAATCTATATGGGAAACATAAAATACATAATTAGAAAAAAGAGTTTAGTGTAATAACTTTCATTCATTCATTTAGGAAATTTTATAAAATGTCTGTTTATGTGGTTGGCCATCTGAGAATGAAACATGTGAGTAAAAACAGTTCTTATTGAAGGCCTCGCAGTTAAGTAAACATATAATTGCAATATAATGGGAATGAATTGCAGGCAGAACATTGTGTTTAGAAGTGTAAGGACTGAGAATCCAGACAAACAGGTTGTGTCACGGGTGGATGGGCAGCTTAGGGGAAGACTGTTAGCAGTCTGTACCCTGACCCTGGGGCACAAGGGGAGGAACTTATTAAAGCAGGGTCATGCCTCAGTTCAGTGAAGTGGCTCAGTCGTGTCCAACTCTTTGCGACCCCAACTGCAGCACGCCAGGCCTCCCTGTTCATCACCAACTCTGAAACTTGCTCAAACTCAAGTCCATCGAGTCGGTGATGCCATCCAACCATCTCATTCTCTGTCATCCCCTTCTCCTCCTGCCTTCAATCTTTCCCAGCATCAGGGTCTTTTCAAATGAGTC